AATCTTCTTCTAATCTCTGAAGGTGAGAAGAGGCATTACTGCCTTATCAAATCGATGAGTCAACTCATATCGGATGGGAATACCAACAAGAAGTTTATCTGTATGAGATGCCTTAATTATTTCAGTTCTCAGAAAGTGTTAGACACACATATTGAACTCTGTCGAGATCATGAGGCTGTGAAATAGGAGATGGATGGAACTTCTCTCTCTTTCAAAAACCACTACAAGAAGATGGATCTGCCGTTCGTCATCTATGCTGACTTTGAGTCAATCATCAAACCTTTGCACACCCGTTCAACCGAACCTTTGCACACCGTTCAACCGAATCCTAAGGAGTGTTATACTGAGAAGAAGCAGAAACATATCCCGGTGAGTTTTTGCTACTTTGTTAAATGCTCTGTCGATGACAGACATTCGAAACTGGTTGAGTACACAGCAAAGTCTGAGGATGAGGATGTTGCGCAGATATTTGTTAACATGCTTGAAAAGGAGGTTAAGTCCATTTACAAAGACCATCCTGCAAAAAAGATGATCTTCACAGATAGCGATGCTGTGATCTTTAAAAACGCGACGCGTTGTTGGATCTTTAAAGAACCTTTCGATGATGAGGATGATGAGGATGATAGATATAAGAAGGTTCGTGATCATTGTCATTACACCGGCAAATTTCGAGGAGCTGCGTATAACAGTTGCAACCTGAGATTCCGACGTCCGAAATTCACTCCTGTCATCTTTCACAACTTGGCAAACTATGACGCACATCTCTTTGTCAGAAATTTCGGCGTTTCAGAAGGTAAGATTGACTGTATTCCCAACAATGAAGAAAAATACATCAGCTTCACAAAGAGTGTTGTAGTTGACACATTTTTCGACAAAGAGGAAGAGAAAGACATTGTTGTCAAGAGAGGGTTGAGATTTATTGACAGCTTCAAATTTATGGCTTCTTCTCTTGGTCAGCTTGTCAACAACCTCACCAAAAAGGGTGACTCTTTTGAGAACACAAGAAGATACTTTGATGGAGAGAAGCTTGACCTGTTGAAGAGAAAGGGTGTCTATCCTTACGAGTGGTTGAATTCTATCGATAGACTTGATGAGACTAAACTTCCACCACGCAGCGTTTTCTTCTCTGTTCTCAGCGGTAGTGGTATCTCTAAAGAAGACTATTGTCATGCGCAGGAGGTGTGGAAAACGTTTGAAATGAAGACAATGCGAGATTATCACAATCTCTACAATCGAAGTGATGTTCTCTTGCTATGCGATGTTTTTGAAAACTTTCGAAAGGTTTGCAAGGAGAACTACGACCTCGACCCCTGTTGGTATTACACCGCACCAGGTTTGGCTTGGGATGCATGTCTCAAGATGACTGAGGTAAAGCTTTCGCTGTTGGATGATGTAAATATGTTGCATATGTTTGAGAAAGGTATTCGTGGAGGGATTTCGATGGTTACGAAAAGACATTCTCAAGCCAACAACAGATACATGGGTAAGAAGTTTGACAAGAGCAAACCTTCAAAGTTTATCACATATCTTGACGCAAACAGCCTCTACGGTTGGGCTATGAGTAAGAGTCTACCAACAGGCGGTTTCAAATGGGTAGATGAGAAAGACTTTGAAGATTGGAAGAATTTTCCTTGCATTCTTGAGGTTGACTTGCTTCCTATCGACAAAGAGCTGCACGATCACTTTGATGACTATCCCCCCGCTCCTGAGAACTTGTTGGTTGGCAATGTTCATAAACTGGTCTGCACCTTGAATGGTAAAAAGAAGTACATCGTTCACCATGAGGCATTGAAACTTTACATGAGTCTTGGAATTGAGATTGGAAAGATTCACCGCATCATCAGGTTTGAAGAGAGTCCTTGGATGAAAAAGTATATCGATTTGAATACAGAGTTGAGAGCTAAGGCAGACAACGATTTCGAGAAGGACTTTTTCAAACTCATGAACAACTCTGTCTACGGTAAGACGATGGAAAACATTCGGAAACGGGTTGATATAAGACTTGCCAACTCAGAAAAGCAGGCGAAGAAGTTGGTAAATAAAGTCAACTTCAAACACTTAACCATCTTCTCTGAGGATCTCTGCGCGATTCATATGAGAAAGACGAAAATTTATTTCAACAAACCTCTCTAACTCGGAATGTGTATCCTCGATCTTAGCAAGACTCTGATGTATGACTTTCATTACAACTACATCAGACCCAAGTATGGAGATAGAGCAGAGCTTCTTTTCACCGACACTGACAGTCTCTGCTATGAGATTCAGACCGAAGATTTTTACAAAGACATAATTGATGATGTGGATTCTCTGTTTGACACAAGCAACATTCCGAAGGAGCACTCTTCTGGGATACCAACTGGGGTGAACAAGAAAGTTATTGGAAAGTTCAAGGATGAGGCGGGTGGAAAAATCATTGAGGAGTTTGTCGGTCTGAGGGCGAAGCTGTACAGCTACAAGATGTTTGATGGGGGAGATGAGAAGA